ATGCCGTGCACCTAATCTAAGACCCGGGACTTAGAAGCGGGGGAATCGGGGAAATGGTTTCAGCGAAGGATGGCATGACTTCTAACGCGATGGTATAAGATGGAATCCCCTATTAAGAATGAGATCTAGATTCTCTAAGACGTTCCTCTCTGCTCCTCAGCTCCATTACTCTACAGCCAGTTCTATAAGATGGGTTCGACGGGGTGGGTGACGCCCTTCCAACTGAAAGAGGAGCCGATAGAAGGCCAGCGACCGATCAAGGTCAGAGTCATAGGAGCTGGATACTCGGGAATATACATGGGAATTCGCATCCCCCAACGCTTACGAAACGTCGACTTCCAAATCTACGAGAAGAATGAATCTGTCGGCGGTACGTGGTGGGTGAATAGGTATCCAGGTAAGGAATCTCGACACATAAGTCTATCTTGCTTCGTCTATTCTAACTTACTCTGACAGGCTGTGCATGCGACATTCCGGCTCATTCATATCAATACTCGTTCAATCCTAACCCTGACTGGTCGGCGTTCTACGCGCCACAGCGAGAAATCTGTGCCTATCTTCATGGCACGGCTGAGAAGTACGGGGCTCTCAGATTTGTGAAATTACAACACAAAGTAGAGTCCTGCCAATGGAATGACAATAGCAAGAAATGGTCTCGACAATTATCCACTGAGAAATATACCTGAAGGCTAACTCGGTCTTAGGCATCTTACAATCTCAAGAACTGACACGAACGAGACTTTCGAAGAAGACGTAGATGTTGTGGTTACTGCCAGGGGCAACCTTAGTGATCCTGCTTGGCCCGAGATACCAGGCTTGAAATCTTTCGAGGGCGAAGTTATGCATTCAGCACGATGGAATGAAAGGTTTGCGTCGACCCTACGACGATAGGAAAGAGACTATTCGCTCATAAACAGATAGTTACGATTTCAAGAATAAGCGAATTGGAATAATTGGCAGCGGATCCAGTGCCATACAAATTGTTCCTAGCCTTCAAAAGATCGAAGGGGCACAGCTTTCGTGTTTTGTTAGAAGCAAGACGTGGATCACAAATCCATTTGGAGATGGTAAGGCCTTCTTCTGTCCATCGGTCTTGTGTTTTATACTAACAAATTCAGAGGTGATGAAAAAGCTTGGACTTGATCCGACCAAATTAGATTGTAAGTGATCAAGTTCGACCGATTATTATGTCAACTCAACGCTCACACCTTCGTCAAGTTACCCCAGAGCAACGTGAAGAATTTGCCAACGACCCGGAAAAGTTCTTCAACTTCCGGAAGATCATCGAAATAGACGGCAACACTATCCATGAAATCTCGATGCGGGGCTCGGATATGCAGCGGGGAGCGATCGGAGCTTTCGGAGACAATATGAAAAATAGGTTACTGAGAAGACCCGACATCGCCGAGTTCCTCATTCCCTCCTTCGGCATCGGCTGCCGCCGTTCTACGCCGGGACCCGGGTATCTCGAGGCGCTCGTCGAGGACAACGTAGATTTCATCACGGATCCGATTGAGACGATAACGCCTACCGGAGTAACTACAAAGACGGGTCGGGAGGTACCGGTGGATGCCCTCGTATGCGCGACCGGTTTCAATACTTCCTCGGCACCACCGTTCCCGATTTACGGACGTGGTGGCATGTCGCTGCAAGAGCGCTTCACACCGTTCCCCACGGCATACCTTTCTCTCGCTGTCGATCAATTCCCCAATTTTTTCATGATGTTAGGTCCGAACTCGGCCATCGGGTCGGGGTCGCTGACGGTTATCCTCGAGAACGAGGGCGACTACATCATAAAGTGTATCCGCAAGCTACAGAAGGAGGACTACGCCACCATGACCATCAAGCCCGAGCGCGTACGTGACTGGAGCGAGTACTGCCACGAGTATTTCAAGCGGACCGTGTATACGGACACCTGCCACAGCTGGTACAAGAGTGAGGGCGGCTCGGGTGATCGAATCATCGGGCTCTGGCCCGGAAGTACGATGCACGCGCTCGAGGCGCTACGGGCTCCTCGGTGGGAAGATTATGACTACGAGGGACTTGAGGGCGAAGGTGGGAATAGGCTGAAATGGCTTGGGGATGGATGGAGTATCACGCATATGAAGGGCCATGGAGAAAATGAATGGCGTGGCGATCCTGCTTGGTACATCGAACCGCAATTTGTTGACGTTCCTCTGCCGGGTCGCCCCGAGGACGACGAGAAGCTCAAGATGCGTCCATTCTCTCATTAGATGACGACATTCTAGTCTAAAGGCCTGAAATTCATTGCTAATATTGCATGAATGAATGAGCTGACTAAGCTTGATATAAGTTGGGTTTCATAACAGTTGAAAGACCTGGCTCTAGGGGTTAGATTAGGTAACATGAATATGTTATACACCATGGTAGATTGCAGTAAAGGTACCAATTGAACTATAACCTTGCTCGTGCAGGGCAATCGGATGTAACACATACAGATTCGCCTCACCTCTATCACATTGGAAATCTACTGCCCATATGGAGATATTCTCGCCAAACAACTATCGACTCTGCTGGGCCGCTGAATTGACCATGCAGCCGCATTGGAGCGCCTGCGCTCGGGATCTCTCCAGTTAGCTCCGGCTTGGAATATCCAAGCCAATGTTCTATCGTCGGCGGTGTCAATTTGCGAGCCATAGCAGTAGGCCTCTTCTTAGCCTTCTTGTAACCCCAGAAACCGAGAACTGCCACTGCTAAGAGGGCGGCCGTGGTTCCCACAGTCACCCCAACGACGCCGCCTGTGTTTAGTCTAGCTGTGCTATCGGAGTCCGACGAGATTGTCGATGTCGATGTCGATGTCGATGTCGATGTCGATGTCGATGTCGATGTCGGTGTCGGTGATAAGGTACTAGAGATAATGCTATGTCAGGAGTCAGATAGATAGTATTCGCTGAAAGGGCTCAATCATACCTGGAAGCTAACACGGGGGCTGTGGTCGTTACCGAATTCGTTGTAGACGAGGTAGAAGTAATCGAAGACGTCGGTGAAGTTGTTGTGGTCGATGATGACGCCGCTAAGGCGATATGAAATCGTCCGTCGTAGGTGACGCTGCATTCGCTTGAATCCAAGTTTATATCGCAGATGGATAGGAAATAGCCGTTGTCTCCTGCGAGAACGCTAGCCGGAACCCACACGAAGGCACCGTTATTAGCAGTCGATGCTAAGCGAACATTAGGCCCAAGGGAAATAAAAAAGAGAATATGGACTAGCCCACATGTAATAACCACCGGCTGCTGGCCATAATTCAAATTTATTACGACGGGGCCTTGTGTGTCGTTCTCCCACGTTATCGTGTACGGCTGGCCTACGAGGATAACTTCATTTGCAACCGGCGCAGTTATTGGCCAATTCTGGACAGCTTGGACCGAACGAATTACCCTAAGTAAAAGAAGAAACCGAAAAATCCAAAGGAAATCGTATCGTATGAAAAACATAATGTGATAGCCAGAGCCTAGCGCACTAGGCACATTTACCCAGAGAATTCTTCACCTTCCTCAAAATGAAAGAGGGATTGCAAGACTCTGTGGCAATGGGCGGCACTGAATATCGTGGCACCCTCAAAATGCACTTTTCATGCGCCAAACCCTGCACATTCAAGGACAACTCGAGTTTCTTATTCCGCATCATTGGCTTATAAAGATGGATTGATAAATTTCAGGGGAAAGGCTGGACCTATTGCTTACAATATACTAGCCATTCTATTATTTGGGGGCGTACTGATGTTATATAGGAAGGATTCGGGTCGTGACCAGCTAGCCGGCCTGTCCTATTAGAGTCTGTTGAGAGTGTGCCGTAACGCGCATTCTACACGGTCGATATGCAAGTACGGTATTACGCCGCTGATCTGCTACGCTTACGGAAAAGCTAATCATACACTTTCACTCACATGGCTGATAAAGTTTGCAGCGAGAAATTGACTGGTCAATTTTTAAGAGGCCATTGCTAGTCTTAATACCCAAATAAGTCCACTACTTTTTATCTCGCTCCAACAATGCTACTTTGTATTAAGTTAATTCTCGCGTTAGACAGGGCTGAGGCACAACAGTCTATGCGACGTATTGGGACTCATCATTGGAGAAATAAATTTCGATTAATATATGGTTATGGCTGGAAGGTAGAAGGATTTCCCGCGATCGATATGAGCTGAGAACGGGACAGCGGGAGATGGAGAACACAGCGCGGTAGCAGCCGCGATTAGTTTCGTTTCACTCAATCAGCCCCCAGCCATGGGGTTCCAGACAGAAATATCTTCCTTCTATTTGCAATCCGGTCTCAGGTCTTCTCTACTCACATTTAGACGCATAGCTTTCTTGTGCGCAGTCTCAGTTGGCCATCTCGAAAAAGCCTTCGTACATGTATGTACCTATACGTCGCCACTTTTTGTATGAACTGCCCGATACGGCGAGCTGCACCAATATGATTGGCAGGGAGACAACAAGGATAAGGGACATTGGGTGCGGAGACAAGCAAGGGTCAGTAGTGTCTCATTTCTACAGCTGGAAGTATTGCGAGAACGTGCCTACATTCAAGTTCAGGTATATTCGGGTACCCATTCGAACTTGGTGTAACGAACTCTGTTATTATTCTCTGTCGCCTTTCAACTCTCCTTCAGCTCTCTTTGTACGATGTGCGAAGCAGCCACTCGTCGAGCTTGCGCAGCCTTACAACGTGATAAATATCACTTCGCGGCCTTCACCAGTTCCAATTTACCGGGATCCAGCGCGAATCCCATGCTAGCAATCCTAGAAGAAGCTTGTATCTGCGGCTTCTTCCGTCGCTAGCCAGACTATTTGGTCAGTGAAAAGGATAGATAAGATTAGCGATTCCGAGGGTACTGCCACACATATTGGGAGACGCTAGCGAAATCGCCGTCATATAAACACAGACCCATCGCACAGAAAGATGGAAAGAATAATCTAGTTTGGTAAGAGGATAGTAAGGGGTATAAGGTTCGCTACATAGGACAGGACAGAAATAGTGGCTTCGTGGTCTAGTGGTACGATACTCGCTTTGGGTTAAGTTTCAAAAACCGTCTGCGAGTGGTCCCGGGTTCGAACCCCGGCGAAGCCCTTTTTGGTTAGCTGATAATGCGCTCAGCTCATCTCAATTACATAATATTAACTCGAAACTATTCACTCCCTTTCAATTAGAATTATTCATCGACATCTGCTTCAAACCGTCTTTAGACAGGATCAGTTTGTATATCCCTCTTAGGGTCGATTCATGGCCTCCCCGTATCCCCGACCATGAGTCACGTAACCCCGGCTGCGGCACCGGCATGGTCCAAGTGCTAACCTTCCCCGGGCCTAGCGAGCTTCGAATTCCATGAGACAGAGACGCATGCGAATTTGTACCATGAGGAGCACATCGGCCGCCGCGAGCTCGTACATCTCCTACGTCGTGCCAGCAACAAACCCGTTTCGGAAGCTGCGCCGGGCCTTAGTCCACGCGCGGCCGTTATCGGGCTACAGGAGCAGGCGTCGTCGCGGCTGCGGAAGTAACTTGGCAGACCTATAGTAGCATACTGTAGAACTAATGGTCTGCGAGCATGTCGAACAGGAGGCTGCAGAGGTCGGACTCTGGAGAGCGGGTCTTCATTCATTCCTGGATTGGCGGGACTGGGGGAATTAGAGGCGTGTCGGGCTCAATCGTCTCATCGAGAGTAGCATAGCATTGTGTTAGCATGAATCTCCTGAATCAGGCCTGTTTTTTTTTGTTTCAATCCATCTTGTACCCGTAAACCTACGGTTGGGGATCGTCTTGTAGAATTCTACATCTTCAGTTGAACAGCAGTTGATGCGAATGTCTGTGCCTACGTCTCGGGCCTGAACCGGTCCGGAATCCACGTATCAGGGGATCAATTCCGGAACGCGATGAGGTCCAACGATCTCGGTTATCGAGCGAACTGTCACGTGGAGTCGATGTTTATTTCAGTCTGAGCTCTTCCTTGTCAACCTGGTTGCGACAGATAGCATTGGCACGGACGACAAGGCATCCTCTTGTGACGCAGCTCGAAGAGCGCGTTTCGTAGATTTTGAGTGACTTTTTCTTCCTGTCGTCGACGTAGATGCGTTCTCCCTAGTGGGATGTGAGAAGATTCTGATAGAGAGGAGCGGTACGTTTCAGTCCAGGAGCGGGGCGGGCTTGTCCGACGGAACTTTCGATGATATGATTTCCTGCAGCGATGTTAGCCCATAAGGGGACATCGTGACAGAAGTGTGGTTACGTCTCACTTAGGACTTCTGTTCAAGCTGAGGGTTAGTAGTGTTGCCAGCTTTCGTGTTCATAAGGGATGGTTACAGAGGGATAGTAAAGGTATTACCATGCGACCTGGGAGAGCAATATTGTATGCCTCTGACAAATCATATGGTTCGTTTATCTGGGTGCTGGTCTCGTACAGGGCCGAATCATGCAGTCTATCACTGCTCCAGATTATCGACTTATCCCGCTATTACAAGACTGCACTACCCCAAGGTCTCACAGCATCCCATAAAGAAAGAGTAGCCTAGCATCCATGTTATATGTCACGCCAGTTATTCGAATGCGTGTAGCCGATTCCCCGGTGAGGTGGCGCAATTACGTTTAAATAAGATTGGGGATCCAGTTGGACCACGTTTTGAGCGACCACTGCATAACGTTACTGCCAAACGCCATTGTGCACGCCGAAATGCGTCTAAATAGCCTCACTGGTCTAATACTGAATAGTGACAAGTCGGCATACGTACCTAGGTAGGTTAAACGTAACTGATGAAGAACACAACACACGCCGATGCGAATTTTGATGCCAAGGCCTGATAACGCATTACTTTTGAGGGACACAATCGAAACACGCAATAAGTGCTTCCTTTGTGTGGAGACTGATCCCGGGGGCAGGGCCATGCATCGCATACGACCACTCGAGTTGATAAGATGGATCATATGCACCCTCTTCTGAGCCGTGGGGGGATGTGCTCGGTGGTCTCATTCGTCCTTATCGAAGTTCTTCATCCGACCTTGTAACTATAAGCAGCCAACAAGCGACGGCGCGTCGGTTCTACAACATCGCCAGTTGACATAGGGTGATCTGATTGTTTCAAGGCAGCGCCGTTATCTCCTTGCCAAGTCGGAGCTTATCAACTGGGTCAGCAGCATACGCAACATCTATCTCAACTTATTGGTATCGCTACATATATCTGCTCAGAATAGTGGGACTATACAAGCAGTAATAAGCAGCGAGGAAGGGAAAGATAGAATGTATGACCCGAGAAGTCAATGCCGACATGACATCCATTGCCAGACATCGTGAGGACTCTATTGGACAGCTAGACGTCTAAGCAGCCGAATAAAACCTAAGGCGGATCTAAAATGCAGGTCAAGATCCAAGCGACCAAGGAACCAGAAATTCAGTTCCAACAAAATTGAGGGCGGATGGTTTGTTGACCTGGTACGAATCACGATACCCTAGTCACCTATCTGACGGGAGGGGGCATAGTGGAGCAGTGTCGATCCGGGAGCTTACCGCCGTAAATCGGATATCCTACGTTTAACGCCGAAAGGAGACCCGCGTAGGACCCGCGTTTGAAATGAGAGAAAATAATTAGTTGGAGCAGATTCGTATCGAAAAATGGCGATCGAAAAAGAATGATTCATTGACTTGATACTAGTTCGAACATACAGATAGAGCCGCTAAGGTTCCCGCTAGCTAACCCAGCGACTCAAAGGATCGCGGACAATTGAACCCTGATAGCATGTTGAGTTTATTAGTGCTGTTTGTTGAGCGGCCAAGGTGGCCTAGGGTCAGGGTCCGGTTCACCGACATATGGCGTATCCTGCCCCGGGAACCAACCAGCGTCCAAAGCCAGCAAACGACGACCCATCGACATTGCATGAATCGTGAGCTCGCTCCGTACCAGCCCGGAGCTATGGGTGCGGAACACTATGAGCCTTTATAAATTGGGGTACCCGGCACTGCCGTCAACTAGAGTGTCAGTGATCCGATTAACAATCAAGGGTGTGGTGGGCCGAAACCCTCAACGTTGACTGTGCTGTGCTTGGATGTACGCTGTGCTCATATAAATTTGCATGGGTAGTTTTCTTCCGCTTAGAAATCCATCTGATTAACAATACGCTTCCCTTCCAGGGAGAGCAGCTTATCATGTGCTAGCGCCAACCCGCAAATCTCCTAGCTTTTCTATTGCCCCCTTCAAGTCTGCCGTCAATAGGGAAATGAGCATTCCCATTCCCATTCCCAGGTGCTTGGGTTATCCTTTGCCTTATATCAACCCCCCTCTTCCATAACAGCCTGGGATCCTACGCAGGTCCGCCGGAGTTGACGGGCTCGACTTTCCTAGAAATTAGCTGACAAAGGGCTATCGCTGCGTTACTTTATCCTCGTTATCACATTGCAACCCTCGAGACCGTAGTACAAACTTTGTTGGACGAATTACGTGGAGAAGCGGTCACCCACCATGTGGGCCAGCACTATTGACAGCGATGCTCTTCGCCGCACTGAATCTGGTATGCCAACAAACCAATGGCATCGCGGAGATACTCATCCAGACACCGGCAGAACACACACCACCCTAAACCCTGAAGGGTCTGGAAGCGAAAGTGGACTAGAAGGTGGCGAAGGCACCTGGGGTGAGCGAGACGTCGGCGGCTTCGACGAGAATGAAGCAATGGAAGAATTGGAGGCGTTGAGGCATAACCTCTCGCAACTGCACAAGTCCAGAACGAGAGATACGCAGTCTAGCAGACCTTTCGATCTGCCCAGTCGCGGCGATGCCGCAGCCTCTGACCCGCTATCAAGACAGCAAACGCGGCAGACAGCAAATGGGGAGGGGAGCGAGGAACTCGAGGGCGACGAGAAGCCGACGGGAGAAGAGGACGATTTCGAGTTGGGGAAGTTCATGCGCGATGGTCACTTCGAGAAGCGCACAGAAGCCGGGTCTGGGAAGAGAGTGGGCGTCATCTACAGGCATCTCACCGTGAAAGGTGTTGGAAGCACCTCCTCTTTCGTTCGGACTGTACCAGACGCCATAATTGGAACATTCGGACCCGACTTATATCACATTATCACGCGATACATCCCCGCGCTTCGGTTCGGGAAGAAACTGCCGACACGTACGCTTATTAATGACTTCACCGGCTGCGTGCGCGACGGCGAGATGATGCTCGTTCTAGGTCGCCCGGGCTCCGGCTGCAGCACGTTCCTCAAAGCAGTCAGCAACAATGGAGAATCGTTCGCAGCCGTCGAAGGCGAGGTATCCTACGGCGGTATTCCGGCAAAGAAGCAGAAGAAGATGTACCGGGGTGAGGTCAACTACAACCCCGAGGACGACATCCACTTCGCGTCACTCAACGTCTGGCAGACTTTCACTTTCGCGCTCATGAACAAGACGAAGAGAGCCGCCAGGGAAGAAATCCCTATTATCGCTAATGCGCTGATGAAGATGTTCGGTATCAGTCACACGAAATACACGCTGGTCGGTGACGATTTCATACGAGGAGTGTCCGGTGGCGAACGCAAACGAGTCTCCATTGCCGAAACCCTGGCCTCCAAGTCGACTGTAATGGCATGGGATAACTCAACGCGTGGGCTGGACGCTAGTACCGCTCTTGACTACGCCAAATCGCTTCGCATTATGACCGACGTTACCAACCGTACAACTCTCGTCACGCTGTACCAAGCTGGCGAAGGCATCTACGAGCTAATGGACAAGGTGCTCGTCATCGACCAAGGGCGTGAGATATTCTCCGGGCCAGCCAAGGACGCCAAGCAATATTTCATCGACCTAGGGTTCGAGTGCCCCGAAAGGCAGACAACGGCAGATTTCCTGACGGCGGTGACCGATCCGAACGAGCGAAAATTCCGGCCCGGATTCGAGGACAGGGCGCCCAAGACGGCGGAGGAGCTTGAGACAGCCTTCCGCAACTCGCCTAATTACCAGAAGCTGCTCGAGGACGTCAGCGATTACGAGGAGCATCTACACCGCACCGATTTCGCGGACGCGAAGAAGTTCGAAGGCGCGGTGCAGGAGGCCAAGTCCAAGCACGTCAGCAAGAAGTCGCCGTACACCGTTCCTTTCACG